CTAACCGTCTAGCCACAGCCCGCGACGCGCTTCTCCTGAAGCACCCCACTGAGCTTACTATCGATCTTCTTGAGACCGCTCTCTCGAAGATCGAGAGTAACCTCCTCGCTGTTGCCTCCGCCTCTTCCGCGCCTCCTCCTCGTCTTTTTGAGGGGTGTGCGGTACCACAGCTTCCCACCTTCACTGCCTCGCTTGCCACTGCCGCATCTTTTGCCTCTGAGGAGACGGCGGCCGTTTCTGTCTCTGGCGGACAGAAACGTGGCAAGTCCGGCAAGAAGGGAGGGAAGGGCGGCGGGGGTTCTGGGGGTGTTGCGGGTGGCGGCGGTGGCGGTAGTACTAGTGGCGGGGGTGGCGGCGGGGGTGACTCGGGACCTGACGGCTCTCCTCTAGACGGTGGTGAGGGGTTTTCGCAGCAGCAGCAGCAGACTCCTCCGCAGCTGCCACCGCCTGGACAGCAGCAGCGGCAGGGACAGCAGCAGCAGCGCCAGGGCCAACAGCAGCGTCCGCCTCAGCAGCAGCTCCAGCAGTGGGGCACTCAGCAGCAGTGGGGCCCTTCGCAGCAGTGGGCCCCCCCGCAGCAGTGGAGACCTACGGGCCCCCCGAGCACTGGGCGCAGTGGTGCCCCTTCTAGTCGGGGACCCCGCTCGGCCGGCCGCGACGTTGGTCTCTGTGAGTACTGGATCCTGACGGGTCCGCGCAGGGGCACGTACTGCGGCCGCCCTGACCACTCTGCTGCACGCTGCTTCAGCCGTCTTGACGACCTGTACGTCCTGCACCACGGTCCCTCCGCTCCCCCGCCACCGCGCTGGGGACCACTCCTTGCTCGTGGTGTTGCTGTGTTTGATATGTCTATGGATGATGCTAGGTCTTATGCCATGTATGCTGATGTTGACTATAGTGCTGTCGGATCTGTTTACTTGCCTGTACCTAGCGTAGGATCTTTGCCTGTTGCTAGAGTAGGTGCTGGTGTAGGATCCTGTCTAGCTTCTAGTACAGGTGCTCCCTCGGCGGACGCGTCGCTCTCCTTCACACTGGACTCCGGAGTGACGCAGTGCTTCTTCCGCGACAGCACGACTCTTACTCCACTCTCGGCGCCGGTTTCTGTAGCACTAGCCGATCCCTCTTCGGGACCGGTCATTGCGACTCACGCCACTACCCTCCCGTGCCCAGCTGCCCCTTTCGGTTCTCTGACTGGCCTCCACGTTCCTACTTTCTCTAGGAACCTGGTTGGTGTGGCTCCTTTGGCGAGACAGCACTTCGGGGTCTGGTTTGAGCCTTTGGGTGACACTGCAGTCTGTGTGGACGGTGACACGTACGCCCCTTTGGCCACTTTTCGTCAGGAGCCGGGCTCTGGTCTGTACACCCTCCACACCGACACCCGTCCGGTTCCCCCGTCCCACCAGGTAGCCAGGTCCAGTCAGGTAGCTGTGCCAGGTCTAGTGGCTGCGTCGTGCTCGTGTCGGTCGCTGTCCCACCCTGCCCTCCTCTGGCACCACCGCCTTGGTCACCCGTCCCTCCCTCGTCTCCGCGCTATGTCTAGTCAGCGTCTTGTCTTAGGCCTCCCCCGCGACCTCCCGCCGCTCCCGCCGTCCCCTGCTCCTCCGTGCGGTCCTTGTGTCCAGGGTCGGCTGCGCGCCACTCCTCACTCCTCCTCCCTTCGTCCAGCCTCCGAGCCCTTTGAGACACTCCGCTTAGACGTCTCGGGCCCCGCTCCCCGGCTTGGACCTGAGCGAGAGAGCTTCTTCCTAGTTGTCGTTGACGACTACTCTCGGTACACCACCGTGTTCCCTTTGGCGAAGAAGTCCGACGTGACTTCTACGCTGATCCGGTGGCTGCTCACCACCGAGAGTACTCGTCGTCGTCGTGTCAGTTGTCTCCACTCCGACCGTGGGGGTGAGTTTTGCTCCGGCATTCTCGCCAGATTCTGTGCTGAGCAAGGCATCACCCAGTCCTGGACTCTTCCAGACTCTCCACAGCAGAATGGGGTTGCTGAGCGCCGGCTAGGCCTGGTCATGGAGATTGCTCGCACCTCCATGATCCACGCCCGCGCGCCCCATTTTCTGTGGCCCTACGCGGCTCGGTACGCCGCTCACCAGCTGAACCTCTGGCCTCGCGTCTCTCGGCCAGGGGCTTCACCGACCAGTCTTTGGACAGGGTCCCCTGGTGTTGCGTCGAGGTTTAGTGTCTGGGGCTGCTTGGCGCTTGTCCGCGACACCTCTGCGGACAAGCTCTCACCTCGCGGCGTCCCATGTGTCTTCCTTGGTTTCCCTGAGGCCTCCTCTGACTTCACCTTTTACCACCCTCCCTCCCACCGGTTCTTTGACTCTCGTGACGTCAGTTTCGACGAGTCCGTCCCCTACTACGTCCGGTACCCCTGTCGAGGTCTCCCGGTTCCCCCCCCTCCCCTCTTCCTCGCCCCAGCTCCTCCTCCTCCCGCTCCCTCTCCTCCGGTACCCCCCCCGGTTCCCGCTCCGTCAGGTGTGTCGCAGGCTACCCCCCCTCCCTTGGTCCCCCCCCAGGTCTCTCCTCCTTCCCCACAGTCGTCCTCACAGCCTCCGCAGCAGCCGTCGGCGCTTCCTCTCCCGGCCACTGCGGACTCTGAGGGTGTTGGTGCTCGAGGTGAGGGCTCTGGCGGTGCTGGTTCTGGGGGTGTTGGAGTTGGAGCTGAGCGTGCACCTGCCGCAGCTGCACGTCCCGAGCGTGTTGGAGTCGGTGGTGGTGCTGGAGCTGGTGGTGTTTCTGGAGCTGGAGAGTCTGGGGCTGGTGCCGGTGCCACTGGCGGCGCCACGACTGGGGGTGCGGGTACACCTCCTACAGGTACTGGTCGTGCTGCCGCAGGGGGTCCTCGCTCTGGGGGTGCTCAGCCGGGTCCTGTCGAGGGTGGAGCCGGTTCTTCTTCGTCGTCTCCTGACACCACTCCTCCTCCTCACCCCTACCCGACTCGTTACCAGGCCCTTCGTCGTCTAGAGCGTGAGGAGCAGCAGCGTTTGGAGCGTGAGAGGTCGGAGGTTCAGCAGCGGGTGGAGCGTGAGCGGTTGGAGTTTCAGCAGCAGCAGCAGCAGCAGCCGCAGCCACAGCCACAGCAGCAGCAGCAGCAGCCGCCGCAGCAGCCGCCGCAGCTGCCGGAGCAGCCTCCGGCCCCTGTTTCTGGCCTTCGGGCCCTTGGTCTCCCCTCCTCTCCTCCTGTGTTCGGTCCCACGTTTCCTGCTCCGGAATCCACTCCGGCTGTCTTCCCTCGCTCTCAGTCTCCTCCGCCCCCCCCTCCTCTCGCCCACACTTGGGCCTCTCGCCCTCCTCGTGCTCGTCCCTCGTCCCCTGTCACTGACCTCCGTACCGTGTTGTTTCGTCCTCGTCCTCCTCGTTCTCCTCCGTCTGTCCTTCCTCGTCCTCCTGAGTCTTCCCTCACTGCCTCCCTGTCCACTCCGGTCACTGACTACTACCGCACGTGCCGCCCCACTCTCTCTCTCGTGTTCTCGCCTCTCTTGTTACAGACCCTCGTGCCTCTCCTTTCTCCGTCGCGGTCCTCACTGCCGCTGTCACTGACTTTACTGCTACGCGTCGCCTTGACTACGCCACTCGAGTTGTGGCAGCTCCTCCTGTCCGTCCTCTGTCCGCCGGAGGTGTGTGTGCCCTTGGCTGTGACGTCCTAGAGGACAGACAGTTTGAGCTAGAGTTCCTAGCAGCTGCTTCGCCTCATCTCTGTGCCATGCTGCTCACTCATGAGGGAGACCCCGACGCTCCTGACATACCTACTCCTCGCACTTACGCTGAGGCAGTGTCAGGGCCTTGGGCCTCTCAGTGGAGAGCTGCCATGGACGCAGAGATGGCCTCCTACAGGTCCACAGGCACTTACGTTGATGAGGTTCCCCCCCCAGGGGCGAACATTGTTGACGGCATGTGGATCTTCAAGGTGAAGCGGCCGCCGGGATCTCCCCCAGTCTTGGTGATGTACCCCAATTCTGTCAACACAACGCATTCCGCTGTAGTTCTCATCCTGACACTCCAGCCCACGTTTTGTACTCCAAAACGGGCGTTTAGCGCGGTTCGTCGCTGCCGATTCCTACATTACTGACTTCTTCGCTTTCAAAAAACGAAATTTTGATAAGCGTTTCACTTCTAAAAATATTCATATTTCATATTCAACACCTGGAAACAGGCCCTAACCAGCCTTCTATTCAGTCCTAGCCTTGTTTTAGGGAACTGGGGTTTTTTCTGCCTGAATTTCAGCTTCATAATATATACAACTGATTTCTCAGCCTGATCAGATTTCCACCTGGGAAACTGTCTACAGGCATTAAAACAGCGGTCTACATTCTACAGTAAAAGGTATTTTCGGAGGGTAATCTAAGTGCACACCCTTTGGTCTACAAACTGATTTGGAGTGGCTCAAGTGATAACCTGAACCCCGTGAATCACCCAACCCTTCCACCTCGATTGTTGGTTTCTCCGCAGGGGTTCCCGCAGCCACAAATATACCCTGTCTTCAAGCGATAAACTTTGCCTCCACACTACCGTACAAGTATGTAGTCAGCAGCTTTGACACATCTCGCTGACTGCGTCTTTTTCTCAATTAAAAGGGAGTGCCACTTGATTTGGTACATATAGCTTTGCAGATGCCTCAACCACCTAATTAGCTTTGCAGATGCATCAAGCCTTGGGAATCGAGAAGCACAGCCAAGACACTGAGCGGTGACAGGAAAAATGTCAGCCTTCATATCAGTTTGCATGAAGACGACGAAAACCAGCAGAAGGTACACATTTTTCGGACGGCTAACGCACGCACAACGGAAGGGGGCATACAAGTGCAGTGACTCTGTTCCATCCAGCGAACATATTAGGCATTGCTGCACCAACGTCGCTAGCACATTGATCGAGAGGCATGGCTGTGTCTGGGTCCGTCAGCGGAAAAGAGGAACATATTAGATAAGAGATCGAAAAAAGAAAAATGGTTTTCAATATATGAAGAGCTTTTCATTTATAATGAACATCGGAACAGCCATTTAAGCCTCCTCCTCCTCGAGCCAGGCCTCCACACGGAGCAGCACGAAGCCCAGAGCAATGCCGGTGAAGATCATGCCTCCGATGATGGGCACCACTCGCAAGATCTCGGAGCCGACGTCGCACCTGGAGGAGAGAGCACCGCCGCGAGCACCAGTCTGCCTGGTAGCAGCAGCGATCTGAGCAAAGCTCTCGTCAACAGTCTTCCTCTCAGCGACAGCCGACACGCACGAGGAGGCCTTCAGGCCCGAGAACTGGCCGAAGGAGACAATGCGGGCCTGACGCTTAGGAGCAGCGACCTTGGCCACAGCAGCGGTGGGGGCAACAGCCAGTTGGCAGGAAGAAGCGATGGCAGCCATGGCTGATGATGTGGTTGTGTCGGCAAATAGAGATGAAGCTACTGAAGCTAGAGGAGGCTGTCGTTGGCTGGGAGTTAAAAATCCAAGCGAAGTAACAAAAGCCTTCTGATCGGAAATGAGAGCATCAGTGTAGTCAGAGAGAGAGGACCAACGGGAAACCCTAGAGAATATCTTGCAGTCAGGCTAGCGACGATTGCGAATCTGACGAACTCAAGCGACAGGAAGGGATGAATGAGAATGGTGGAGTATTGGCCTCTGAGGATAAGCTGTTACCTTGTCAAGTTCTTCGCGAGCGACGATTGTGGCAGAGCCAGCGAGAACAAGCGTTGATGTGTACGAGCGGAGAGGTCTCTTCCACCAGAAAGTGATGTGCTGGCAGTTTCCGCCAATCGTCCTTATCTGAACGATCCCATCGGCAAGGGGTTAGGCCACAGATGAATCCACGTGGCGCAGTACCCACCTGCCGTCATGGCGAACCAAGCCACGACATGAACAAAGCTGATGAATGATAAACCAGCTGGCTGAAACTGCGGTACAGTTCGGTAAATTCACGTGATCGGAAACGAAGGACCGGAAACACCATCTATAAGTATTATGAGTATGAAAAATGAGCAAATGAAGAGAAGGAAAATGCCAAAAAAATGGAGGACAAGAATGTTTGAAATTGTACTCAAAAACACGTTTTATCACGAACAAGCCATTAACTCGTCCCACTAACCTTTTCCACTCAATTTGACCTCAAAATCTCTATGCTTACGTACTTGCATGCATGAATGTTTGCATACCGGTACCGGTAGTATGTGTGTGTGTGTGCGTGCATGCGTGTGGGTGCATGTGTTTATGGCTTGTCAGTAGATCTGCACTGTGGATGCCCGATTAATCTTGGAGAGGGTTACAAGCGCGTTCGCCTGGGGGGTTATAGGCGCAATGGTCCGCTATTGAAACAAGCCTTTATATCCCAATGGTCTAGTGGTTGGGATTTTGACATGGTATCAGAGCAGTCTCGGGTTCGATTCCCGATGTATGCACATGTAGGTCGTTGCCGCTGTGCTTAGTCCTGGGCCTCCTAGTGTGGGGGAGTGCCGGTAGATCTGCACTGTAGATGCCCGATTGATCCTGGAGAGGGTTACAAGCGCGTTCGCCTGTAGGGTTATGGACGCACTGACCCACTACTGAAACAAGCCCTTATATCCCAATGGTCTAGTTGTTGGGATTCTGACACGGCTTTGGGGGTTGGGGAAGCTGTGGGTGTGGTGTGTGCATGATCATGAAGTACGCGTATGCATTAGCATGTCGTATAATGTTTGTGCATAGACGCATATGCGTATATCTTGCATCCAGTGCCGCCGAGAAACATGCTTGATAAGACTGTGAGAAAAGTAGAACGAGAATAAATTGACTATGGATTGGAAGTGATACAAATATGCAACCCTAGAATTGTGTACCTCATATGGGCTACCCCAATATAGCCTACAGAACATTATAATTTGACACACCCCCATAGGCAAAGTGGGGGAGAACAAGGGGTCACAAGACCAGTCAAGCAAAGCAAAGCAAGCTCAGGGTGGATCACAACGTCACCACACAGTCCGAGCACAAGAGCAAGGCCACAAGGCCAGTTCACATGAAGGAGTGCACATATATATAAGACTAAACAAGCAAGAGTAGGTATATATATATATGTAAGAGTACAAGCAAGATCAAGAGGTGAGCAAATGAGGCAAGACAGGCACAAGACCCAGCTGAGTGCAGAAGCGCTGATGATCACAAGGCGAAAGGGCCTTGGTGAAAACATCAGCAGTGTTGGCCTTAGAGGCCACGTATGCAAGTCGCAACTGACCACGCTGCTGCAGCTCACGAGCAAGAAAGTAGCGGAGAGCAATGTGCTTTGTTCTATGCTCCAGGCGCTGCTCCCGACACAAGGCTAGCATGGCCTTGTTGTCTACGTACAGCACCAGAGGAGAACGAGGCGGCTCTCCGAGGTCAGTCAGCAGGTAGGTAAGCCAGCGAAGCTCGTGTGCAGCCATGGCCCCGGCGTAGATCTCAGCCTCACAACTGGAGCCGAGAACAGAAGACGAGCGAGTAGCCCGCCACGAAACAGAGCCGGAACCAAGGCTGAAGGTGTAACCCTGTGACGACCGCTGCGTAGCCTGGTCGTCTGCCTAAGAAGCGTCCGCGTGCCCAATGAGGACCACTGGACTCCGCCCTCCAAGCACTAGCCCCATGCCCGACGTACTGCACAAGTAGCGCAACACCCTCTTCGCTGCAGCCATGTGCTCTGGTTTGTGTCTCCCAGGAGCAACATAGCGTGCAAGAATGCTAAGAGGGTATGCAAGGTCAGGTCGTGTGCAGGTCATCAGGTACATGAGGCAGCCAACAAGCTCTGGGTACGGGCCACTCGGCTCTACGGACTCATCCGAAGGCAGAGCTGAGAGCGAGTGGCGAGTAGACAGAGGAGTGGCCTGAGGCGAGGAGTACGTGAAGCCGAAGCGCTGAAGGACCTGCTGCACCATGTATGACTGAGTCAGGGTAATGGTGCGGCGTGCTCTGTCCCGGGTGATCTGCAAGCCAAGGTAGCTGCGCAGTTCACCCAGGTCTGTGCACGTGTGTCTCTTCTGCAGCTCGGACTTCACGTGGGCGAGTCCAGCAGTGTCAGCTGTGGCAAAGACCAAGTCGTCGACGTACACGAGGATGTAGAACGGCGGCTGAGAGGTGTCGGTGCGTAGAAACAACGACGGGTCAGCAGTAGAGGGAGCAAACCCAAGAGCCGCAAGTGTAGTCCTCAGTGTGTCGTGCCACTCGCGCGGTGCCTGACGGAGACCGTAGACTGGCCGTCGGAGGCTCCACTGGGTGCCAGGAGGGAAAGTCCCAGTGAAGCAAGGTGGACGGCGCAACCAGATCTCCTCGTGCAGGCTACCCTGCAGGAAAGCAGTGCTGAAGTCAAGGGAGTGAAGCTCGTAGTCACGCTGAGCGGCTATGTGTAGCAGCACCCGAAGAGTGGTCATCTTCGGGGTGGGAGAGAAGGTCTGAAACTAGTCAACTCCCTGTTGCTGACTGAAGCCACGAGCCACGTACCGCTCCTTGAAGACAGGTGGAGAGCCCGGCGGCCGCTTCACCCTGAAGATCCACATGCCACTGATGATGTTCGCCCCAGAAGGGGGAACCGTGTCAACGTAGGTGCTTGTGGACTTCCAGGAAGCCATCTCTGCATCCATAGCTGCCTGCCACTAAGAGGAGTAGGGACCCTCTACGGCCTCCGCGTAAGAGCGCGGAGTCGGGATGTCTAGTGCATCCGGGTCTCCCTCGGGGGTAAGTAGTACGGACGCGAGATGAGGTGAAGTAGTAGCCAGACACTGGAACTCCTCCTGCCTGTCCTGAAGGACGTCCGTGCCAAGAGCACACTCACCCTTGACGGACGGAGGACAGACAGACGCAGACTCAGCAACAAGACTAGCAGCGTAGTCTAGACGACAGCGAGCAGCAAAGTCGACGAGCTCAGCAACAAGAGCAGACGTAGCAGTGGACTCAAAGGAGGGGTCAGTGACGACAGTAGCAAGGAGACGCGTGACAGTAGGACTGGCAGCACGAAGAGAGTCCGACTCACGGTCGGCAAGCGCAGGAAGAGAGGACTCAGGAGGAGAGGGCAAAGGGGCACGTTGAGGAGCAGTGGACGGAGGCAGAGACATCCGGTGCGTGCCAACACCCTCAGCAGCTCCGACTTCAGTAGCACTCGCAGGACTAGTACCTCCGAGACCCGCGGCACCAGCACCCTCAGCAGCCGAAGAAGGACCAGCTCCAGTAGTACGCCTCCAGCGCCGGGCAAACCACTCGCGCAGCTCCTGTGGAGAGAGTGGCTCCCGCCGAGACGAAGAACCCGGAGAACCACCAGGCCCAGCACTGCCAGACGCCACACGAGCAGGTCCAGCGGCCGCGGGCTCCGCACCCCCAGGCTCAGTAGCTCCAGACTTAGCACCCCCAGGCTCAGCAGCTCCAGACGCAGCACCCCCAGGCGAAGCACCCCCAGGCTCAGCACCCCCAGGCTCAGCTCGCCCAGTCGCAGCACCCCCAGACTCAGCACCCTCATGCTTAGCACCCACGCGCGCAGTACCCCAAGGGTCAGCACCCCCAAGCTCAGCACCCGCAGCAGTACCAGAGTCACCAGCAACCTTGACCGGCTCGACTGCATCTACGTGGGACACACCTGAAGGGGCAGGACCCTGAGGGGGGAGGGGGTCTACCGGGGGGGGACCTGGCACAAGGAAGTGCGGTGGCGGGGGGAGGGAAGGAGTGCGGTAGGGGAAGAGGCGGTAGTAGGAGACAGACTCGTCGAACGTGACGTCCTGGGAGGACAAAACACGACGAGAGGTGGGGTGGTAGAACTGCCACCCAGGGGCGTCAGGGGGGAAGCCAAGGAAGACACAGGGAGCAGCACGAGGGGACAGCTTGTCCGCAGACAAGTCACGGACAAACGCCCGAGATCCCCTGACACGGAACGCAGACGCATCGCCGACCTTCCCCGTCCACAGCAAGGCCTGGCAGGGTCTCCGGCCTGGAGACCCTGGGGTGAAGGTTGATCTGATGCGCCGCGTACCGAACCGCAAACGGCCACAGAAAACGGGGGGCAGCCGCATGCATCATGGACGTACGAGCGACGTCCATGACCATGCCAATGCGGCGCTCAGCAATCCCATTTTGCTGTGGAGAGTCCGGTAGCGTAAAGGTCTGGCGGATGCCTCGCGCTCGACAGTAGGCTCGCAGAAGGCCAGAGGAGAACTCTCCGCCTCGGTCAGAGTGCAGACGCAGAACAGGAAAGTCCGAGCCGAAGCTCCTCGTCAGCTGAAGACGAGCTGGGCGAATCCAGTCGATCAACACCTTAGCGACATCACCCTTGCTGCGCAAGGGGAAGACTGAGGTGTAACGCGAGTAGTCGTCAACCACCAACAGGAAGTAGCGCTCGTGACCCTGTCCATAGACGCGGGCTGGGCCCCACACGTCCATGTGAAGCGTCTGTAGCGGGGCCTCTGTCGAGGGAAACTGAGAGGAGTGAGGGGCAGCCCTGAGCCGCCCCTCGACACAGGGGACACAGGAAGGACCAGGCCCCGGAGGAAGGGGAGGGAGGGACCGGGGAAGACCAGAGACAAGGACACGGGAAGCCATGCCTCGGAGACGAGGCAGGGAGGGGTGACCAAGACGGTGGTGCCAGAGGAGAGTCTCGTGAGACAGGAGGTGACACGAGCAGGGGGCAGACTCAGGACCAGACCCGGACGCTGCAGCAAACACCTGACCCGACGCAGCTACCTGACCAGACGAAGTGACTGGAAGAGACGCAGTGGTCAGTGTGTACAGGCTCGACCCCGGTCGACGTGTAAACGTGGCCAGGTGTCGGCCTGTCCGAGCGTCCGTGCAGTGGGTCACCCGCTGACTCGCAGGAGTGAACTGGTGAACCCCCGTATCCTGCAGGTCAGCACCA